ATTTCAGTAAAATCTAACGTTCATATTTCTCTTTTTGATTATAATACTGATGAACGTTCAAAACAAAGAACTTTGGCAAGTTACCACATACGTTTTAAAATGCTTAATAAGCACTGTAACTTTCACGATATAACTTCTCCGTCATAATCGTTTGTTTCCGTGAACGGCCGACTGTTGTGTGACGGCAAATGCTGCGGCTGCAAGGCATTGTGGGGCAGCATTTTCTCCTTTCCTTTCGGTGAGGGAGGTCCAGTGCTTCCTAAGTTAAAGGAGGTTATAATGGAAGTTTGAAACCTCCTTTCCTATCATCTAGAGAATTCGAACGGCACTTTTCATGGCTGCCACTGACGTACTTCCGGGTAATTTCACTCCGTTAGGAAGGTATAAGCTAAATGGACTATTCGACTTCAGCCATAGACTCAGCAAACTCACATTTGATTAGTGAAAGATGTCCATAACTAATCATTTGGTAAGATCAGAAACAAAAAATCTTAAAGCCCATTGTTAACTACTCCTTTGATATTCAAAAATAATACACTCTCTTAGCTATTTCTAACTTCCTACCTCAGGTTTAAGGATGGTTGGCCACTGAGGATGTCTGACCAACCATGGAACTACAGTCTTCAGCAAAAATTTGGTGTAAACTCACTGGAGATCAGAAGGTAGGTCACTGCCTCAAATTGCTAATTAAGGATGAAAATGTCTGTCCAGAAAGCTGTAGAATGAGTATGAAGCATGGGTGAGTAAGACGAGGCATGTGTGGCTTGCGTGACCTCTCCAAATAATTAATTTAAGATTAAATTAATAATTCAAGAAACGTATGGGTAAGGTTAGGTAATGGTGCTGTTATGAGATAAAACGTGGCTGTCAAACTGAGAATTGAATGCTGGTGTAACTCTGCTCCATAACCTGATTTCAAAGAATGAAGATAGTCAATTAGTTTGTGATTTGGTCTTAAGGCACTGCATCCTTTGTTCTTTATGTTGTCTTTGCGGGATTCATTTAACCGCCATCAAAACAGAGTTAAGTATACCACAAGCACAGATTTGTAACACCGCAGATACACTTTTATTGCAGTTTTTGCTGTTACATAAATGTCTAAATCCTTAGGTGCTCTCCTGATGATGCTGGAAAGTATAAAGTGGTGGCCAAGAGTCCCCTGGGGGAAGCGATGACATTTGGAACACTTGTTGTGAACTGTGAGTAGTTTCAGATTTCATATCAGCTCCACCCTGCTGGAAAACCCTTTTGGCTGGTACAAAGATAGGGATACAAGAGTTATCCAGACAGGCTATACAATGGTTATGGGTCACTGAAACACTGAGAGGGGATATCAGTTGAATAAATCATCAAAGAAGCTTAAAAATCAAAAGGCGCTTTCATACCAAGCACTTTTCCCAGGAATAGTTCCCGGAACTTTTCCTCCTTTTATTTCCTGGAACTATCTACAGTATTAAAATCGCATTCACACCTGAATAAGTCCCTGAGGGAGCTGCTGACGTCACTTCTTCTTCTTCTTCTTCTTCTTCTTCTTCTTCTTCTTCTTCTTCTTCGTCTTCTTCTGCTTTGGGTTTACTGAAAGGCCGCAAACAACTTCACGGCGTATACTCCCGACCGGAAGTCCCCGGAGTTGGGGAATGGCTTCTACTGAAGCCTTCCGAGTAACGCAGCGTCCACACGGCAGCTTGCGTTGAAGCTGGTCGGTGGGCATGTCTGAAGCTCGACCAACAACCAATCACATCAATCTCCCACCCCGGAGACACAAGCACACGGTTTGATTGGCTAGCGCTTGTACTGGCATATGATTTGATTGGCTGACGCTTCCGTCGAAGCTTGAAAAGTTGGACTTTTCTCAACTTTCGAAGCGAGCAACGGAGGCAAAGCGCCGCGACGGAACCACAATGCAGTTCGGCAAAGCGTGACGTCACCCCATTCAAAGTGAATGGGAAGCTTCAACGCACGAAGCGCCGACAACTCCTCATCACTCCACCACTCCCATGTTTTCTTTTGTGTTGCCATAAGTTAGTCTCTCTCTGTTTGTGCGCTGGGCTAATGTTAATGGTAATAATGCTAATGCGAGCAAATAAAATGGCGGCTTCACAAAAACTTTTCTTCCAATCAGAAATTGGAACCTTTTTCTCCCCAGGAAAGTCCCTGCTCTCTAGCAGGGACTAAAAAGGGGTGAAAAACTTTGCAAAAAAAAGTTCTAGTTCCAGATCTTTTTGGTGTGAACGCAAAATCCCAGGAACTATCGGAACTATTCCTGGGAAACGTACTCCGGTGTGAAAGCGCCTATTATAGCTCCCAAGGTAATTAATACAGCAGGATTTACACAATGAAGGTGTTCAATACTTGGTGCACACACACACACCATTGACTGAAAAACATGCACTAGTCAGTATAAGTAACTTTAACAAAGATAAATAAAATGATAAGAAGCCTAATAGTGTCTTTGTTGTATAGGTATGATAAACAATCATGCATAATACAGAAAACACAAAATTATTGAATTATGTTGCATTTGCAATATTGTTTTTCTATTCATTAAATTGTTACCTAATCAGATAAAATGTTGATGAAAAAAAACTGGTTAAATAAACAACTCTAAGGATCTAACTGTAGAATGATATGTAACTTTTGGGCTGACTATCAGTCTTATTCTATAAATAAATAATGGTCATTGTTTAAGAACAAAATAACATGAATAACATAATATAGTGCAACTTGCATGGAAGTATAGATCTATACATAATAGTATCCTATCCACAAATATCAAACCAAACATATTTCAAACATGTTATAGTTGATCTCACTTTACTTAATGTCAAACGTCACACAACCTTATCATTGCATTAAATATGATTTAAACAAACAGTCACAGGATAAAAGCAGGTCCACAAGGTTTACAGACAAGCTTAGAGACTGTTGAACATGAAGGAATAACCAAACAGCAAGATGATCAAGAGCTCTCACCAAGCTACAAACCAAATGACGGAACACAGCCCAGCAGCAACACAGATCAGAGAGCAAAACACACGTCCTCTCACAATGGAGCTGCTCACTCTGTCATCCAAAATGCAACACCACTGAGGATAACATGCTGAACGAAATCAGAGGGATTCTGCTTACTCTGCGCAATGTTACAACCAATGCCAGTTTTAACAAATACATGAAAACAGCTCACTCACCATTAGTTGAAGTCAGCCATGGAGTTGAAGCGTCTCAGGATGTCAGGAGTTTTCTGATCTTGCAGGTAAGGTCTCTCACAGGCCATCAGCTGTTTCTGGCGCTCCTGGATGTTGTATCAAAACTGCAGAAACAAATGCAGAATGTGTCTTGAAAGTGGCTTTTATTCCACCCAGACATTGTCAAATACTTCAAGTGAGGACTTAAAAGTTCTGAATAAACAATCCGATGGATGCTGTAAGTATAACATACATATCCATGCTGCAGTCTGGGCGGGCCTATGGAAAGGTAGCAGTACCTGTCCGACATCAACTTTAGTAGCCGCTGATGCGTTAGCTTCATTGGGCAGCATGTCCACTGATTCCATTAATTAGCACTCCACTTGGGCCGGAATGTTCCCATATTTGCGTCAACTTCTGTAAGTGTAGACCTTTGACCTTCGAGGAGAAAGGCAGCTATATTGTTATCAGATTTTGGAAATTAGCTAGCTAGCTAACATGTTTTAACTAGCCGCTATTAGTAAACTAGCCTTAGCATCACGCTTGTGTTCCGAAGCCACGGCCCCTAGTTTGGCAGGTGGTTAAGCTGTTGCTAGGCAACTAAACGCAACCTTCCGTTTTTAAAGATGGCGGACGATCTTAATGTTTTGAAGGGGCTATGAGCTTAATACATCCATGGCTATGAGGCTAAATGATAGTACAAATGAAGGGGAACAAATTAAGTAGCCTAATGGATTTATGATAATGATCAAGTTTAAACCTTTTCTGGTAAAAGACAAAAATAAGGAGAATCCTACAAACATTACATGAGGAGAGTAACATAGGATTACAATCATCATGAGACAATGTCAAAGACCCCTTAATATAAGTCAAGTCTACAACTGATCTGAAATTAACCTCCATTATTGATTTTAATGCTTTAGTCTAAACTTCGTTGAGCCCTGTTTCTCTGATTTGATGGTAACAATTCTTATTAAATGTTAAGGACTTGGTTGTGTTCTTCTCCTCAGCTAAACAGTTTACAAATTCTGTTTTATGGGAACAAAATGTGGGCGCGTCTCTTCATTGTGATTTGTGCAAACATAAAATGGTGTTATTTTATTAGCCTTCAACAACTGCAGCTCCTGAGGCATTGACTGCATGCCAAGGCCTCATTATAAAGCCCATCAGATCAATTGGAAAAATATATTAATATTGTAAGTATATTTTCGGTCGATATATAACAAGAAACTGACAGGTCTATTTTTATATTGTACAATATACTGCTCATTACACAGCTTGGCAACATCTCTCTAACCTCCTAATCAAAGGTTATTATCAGGAATGTTTGATGCTATTGGTTGAAGTTTGAAATGTGAAACAGCTGATATTTTGTTATTAGATTTTTAATATTTGAAATTGCATTATTATATTGTTTCTGCCTTGGAAAACCAACATTTGTCAGGCTATAATATTAGCATTTCAGGGTGCTGACACCGCCAGGGCCACATTTTAACCACATATCCATATCTCCAGCCTGAGCCTCCTAATACATTCAATCTTGTCATTGCTCAAGTCAGATTTTCTTTTTCTTTTTTTGGGGGGGGAATAACTTTTAATTCAAATACTATTTTCACTTTTAACCCATCCTCATTACTCTTGTTTTTCTATATGCATTTCCTATTTGGATGAAAATCAACACCAGACCATAATGATGAGAAAAACAGATATCATTGCACAACTCTTGCATTATGAATTATAATGAGGACAGTGGGTGTAGTGGTGACATACTGTATAGGAAAACATCTACATCATTAGAGTTGGGAAATATACACAATAATGATTTTTCCTCAAACCTTTTTAAATGACCCAACCTGTCTTAAAAGGGTTCAGCGCCTGGCATGCAGTGAAGTTCCCTAATGTTGTAGATCAATTAGATTGTGAAAGCTTTAATGATGCTCTTCATATCTTCTCCTTCTCATCTGTATTTCACTTTCTTACTTCAGGTTGTTAAAAATAGGTTAAAGGGAATATTCGATGTGACTTGCATGAATGTGCCATTGCCAGGTTAGGTTTGTCATGCTGTGTCTCTCTCTTTCACTTTACAACGTCTCTGTTTCTGTCACAATCTCTGACCCTGGCTGCCTTTCTCCAACCCGTCCCGCTCTGCCGCTCTGCCGACCTGCGATTCAGCATATCAAGGAGCAGTGGCTGGTTCAGAGAGTTCCAAGACCCCCAGTAAGTTTCAAGCCAGGACCTAATGAAAAGTGTCCCCTTTCATTTTCTCTGCCACCCTTTGAAGTTGTTCCCTCCACAAGAAACGAGGATGGGTGGGTGGGAGGTTGCTGGGTGAGCTTTGAAGACTGTGACACGACACTCTGCTCTGCTGTCCGTGCTGCACCTCATAAAGAAAGATATGGATGCTTTGAAAGGGCGCAGCGAGTTGACTGTGTTTGTTTGTTGTGGGAGTTTTTCTTTTGTTTTGATGTGGGTGGGTGTGTATGCTCATGCCAGAAAGTATAGTTGCGGAAAAAGTTGCTTCCAATTGAACACAAATTACATTCATTTATATTTCATGTCAGGGACAGCAGGGGATTTATTATGTTTTGCTCCAAGCTGTGGAGCATCTTATATTCGGCCTAGATTAGTCTCCACCATGTGTGGGGATCATAACATTTTCAGCCACATATGCTCGGATCAGGCTAGCTGCTCCTGACTGCTCATACTGTTATTCGGCCTAAAATAGAGAGTTTATTACCAGAAAAACAAAAGCATTGGTCACTTGTTCACAAGCCTAAATAAACTCTCTTCCTATAAAGGACCTCTTGTGGCAATGTGAGTTATGACTGTTTTCTATCAGATGAAAAAGTAGAAAAGCATGATAATATGTTGTGAAATCTCTTAGGGAGGAAGTCAAGGTCATTTAATTGGTGACTATGATGTCTTTAACTAAGTCATTCTTCTTTTCACAGTGATTTCAATAATTTCCTTCTCTTAAAAAGTTTGTTTCAACCCGAATTACCATATTTACTTGACCATAATAAAATGATTGATAGAAGTTGTAAAAAATATAGTGCAAACATTTGACACAAAATATAGTCCATTTTACTTTAAAATAGGGCTGTCAAACGATTAAAAAAATGTTTTAATCAGATTAATCACAGCTTAAAAATTCATTAATCATGATTAATCACCATTCGAACTATGTCCAAAATATGCCATTTCTTTATGTATATTGTTGTGGGAATGGAAAGATAAATGAAAGAAGGCGGATATATCCATTTAACATACAGTATGTATGTATGTTTATTATAACATTGTTCTGTGTGTCAAAATGAAAGACAGCCCACACACCTATCAATCATCAAACCGTGGGGTCTTATTTCATTACGTGTTGATTTCTATCAACACGTAATGTTGTATTGATGTATATAGTAATGTACAGCAAAAGTATTCTCCGTCAGGACTTCCTGCAACAACACCACGCCGTTATCGTGATTCTGATTGGCCAGAAGACATTATCAAAGATGTTCTATTGAGAAGACGATCACTACGTGCCAAAAGTTTTCAAAACCGTTTCTAGTCTTCGGTATTTCCAGACAAGTGACTACTGAAATCAATCTTACTAATTGCTATCTGTGCAATTTACTCGGCGCGAGTTGGCGGACTTTATTTTGCTTACTTTAACATAATTTTTCATGGTGGGGCTAAGGTGGGGCTAAGCCATTTCTTGTTATGGCTGTAGCCTACCCCAGCGCTGCCACTGGTTATGGTGGGATGTATGGGGCAGGCTGCACATACGTATGCGTTAAATGCGTTAAATATTTTTAACGCAATTAATTCAAAAGACTAATTACCGCCGTTAACGCGATAATTTTGACAGCATTACTTTAAAATTATTTAAAGAAGTGATAAAACTGCCAAAGTAAAGTCTATCTTACCAGGATAAATGCATTTAAAGATCAGTATTCCTTATCCAGGGATGTTCCTATATTGCTAATAGAGTTCTTGTGAAGATGAAGTAAAATGTACAGGAGTGCTGTTGATTGAAATACATTCTCCACGCCCAAGAATGAAGTGGCAATCACTGTTGAAGCTTCATCAGCATGTAATGGCCTCCATGCTGCGTGTATGTGCTGAAAGATTGCATTCTGCTAATTTGATGTATAACTGATACTTGATTATCTCATATGGAGCAGATCATATTTTCCTACATCAATCACTCAATAAACAAAAGCGCCACTGTGGTAAATGTATCGTTATCACCATTGTGCTGAAGGAAGGTTTGAATGATGGGAAACAAAGATGCAAGCAGCGCCTTTTTGATGAAGCTACGCACATCCCTGTGATAGCCTTCTAAGCAGAACAAGATCATCATAAGAAACCTGTCACAGTCTCTCAGATGTTTCCCTGACATTGAAACAAGACCTCATGGCACACCTTTCTCTCACTTCCAGATTGTATTGATTCAGTGCTTTGACAAGTGATAGGAGAATGGCAGCTGAAGGAATAACTTGTCAGGAATTGTTCTCTTTCATAAAAAAAAGTCTCAGCTTCTTTTTCTGCTTTCTTCTTCCAGGGGATGGATCCCTGGCTGTCCTTGGTTTCTTTGCACTTAAATAAAGCTGTGGGTCTTTGACTTTTATGGCTGTGCAAGTCAGCATCAGATGGTCTTTTTAGTTCATTAAGATCCTCTTTGTTGAGTTCTCTCAATGCCCCTGTAGTGAGAGAAAAGTAGGAAGGTGGAACTTGCAGAGTAAAGGAAAAACTGCATAAACTGGTATACGTAATAGAGCTTTTTTGACAGAGCTTTGGAGATGATGGAATGAGCTCTCATTTCTTATCTTCAGAAATCAGCAGTCTTCCTACCTGCTGCACATCCTCTGCTTCCTGACTCCTCCACTCTTTATCCCTCAATTTTCTTTCCTTTATAGTGGCCCTAAGGAAGTCTGTGCATCAACACACAAAACGATTACTGTGTGGAATATATGTGTTTTTGTTGCTGCAATAAGGCTCTATCTCGAGTGGGGCCACTTTTCGATATCAATATTTATCTCTGCCAAACACCAGTGAGGAAAGCGAGTGTGTGTATAATGATGAAAAGTGCTCCTTATCATTTTTCTTTCATGGCCCTCATTTTTACTCTTCTTCTATCTTACCGATTTGTCTGCCAGTTTTACAGCTTTTCACCTCTCTTCCACCCCTATATAATAGTGAAATATGAGAATGCAGCCCAGTTTGGCAGCACCTTCCCCCCAACATGGGTGAGAGAGGGTGAGAGCTTCACGCTGCAATGCACCTTCACCTCGGCTCTGCTGCCCTCCCTGCAGGATGCCACATGGTTTAGAGATGGTGAGTATAAAGATGAGCCAGATGTTGGACTATATAAATGCATGCCTAAGGTCTTCAGTTCATTGTTTGTCATTCCTTAGGCATACAGCTGCATCCGTCGAACACCGTAGACATTAAAACAGCTGATGACAACGCCTCCATCACTTTTAAGGCTGCACACAAGGAACTTGAAGGTGTTTACACCATCCAACTGAGGACCTGTGATGAAATCCAGGAACACAGTGCTTTCGTCTATATCGTAGGTGAGGACCAGCTTTATATAGTAACTGCTTTTTCTTTGGTCCTTTAATAATGATGTAGCTTTGGTGTCAAGTTACTGTGTTTGACAATAAAGGGGTAAGGATCGTGACAGTTAAGGTGCAACCTTGAAGCCCGAAAATAAAATAAAAAACTCTACACAATCTCTCTGAATAGCTTTTTCCAGCTATAATGAAAACTGTGGCATGGCTAAAAGTCGCGGAGAAGGCTAGTAAGTTAAAGTAGAACTGGATCGGTAAACATTAAAGAACATTTGTTCAACATTCAGGGAAATATGCTTATCCTCTTTCTGGAAAAGAAAGAAGACCAATACTCTCAATACTTTGAGGTAGCTTTGCACCAAGACTGGAAACAATGGGGAAAAGATAGCGCTCTATAAAATGTGTATGTCTCCCAGCCTTTTTAAAGGTAATTTAATAGCGTTATGACAAACAATGTTATATCTGACATGTTGTTGATTTCGAAATACATGCTGAAAACAAAGTGTAAAACACACACATTGGGTTAAGTTGTCTTGTCATCACAGACAGCCCAAAAAGTTAAGCAACTCCTTTTTAAGATGTTTTTTATATATATTTGCTCTGGGCAGGCTTGTAAATCGCTGTCACACCAGATTACATCAGAAACCATTCATACTGTGTTTCTAAACAGCCTGCAAAGCTGCTTTTCCAATGGTCTCATTCTGAAAATGCTGACAGAAGCTTTTGAGTGACCTCCAGACCCTTGCGTACAAAAAGAACTGTGTTTTTGTAGGATGGAGTCATCATTTGTTGTCCCAAGCTGGATAAATTGTGTTTTGACTGAAACCAACTCAAAACACCATTTGTACTAAACAGAAATTGGTGCTACTTTCATTTCCTGTCAGAAAATTTTCATAGGGGGGAAATTGCTCAATCAATCAAGCTGTTCCTCTGAAAAGGGCTTGTTCACTTTGTTCAATGAAACTATATATTCTTTACAGACTGCTATTTTCTCTCCAACATTGTTTCCCGCATGCAAACGACCCCCACTTGACTCATCAAACATTTGAAATGTGTCTGGGCAGCTCTGCAAGGCAGCTTGGCATCTTTCAATATAATTCCAGTGCTTACTCTTGTATGTATTGTACCTTAACCACCGCAGTCAGAGTATAATGTGCATTGAATTATTCATCAACTTGTTGAACGCAGTCACATACATCAAAGATTAACATATTCTCGTCCAAACATACAGATGTATGCAAACACTTTAATGCAAGGTGAATATTCCTCCAAAGCTGCTTTAAAATGGTCTATCCCTCTCTTAAGGATGTTTTTTTCACCAGAACTAGGGTTACTAATTAGGGAATCAGCGATCGCTCCTGCTTGTGGGTTTTCTCCTTCATTCATCTGTCATATTTGCATTACAAAAAGGGCAGTACAGGAGAGAAACAACAAATGAGAAATAAAGAGGAAAGGAGGGCAATGCAAATTTAAAACAAGAAATAGATGTGCTTTATGTTGTCTTGAGTCTTTTGTTAAAAAAAATATTTGCAGCCTCAAGGACAGGTTTCTTCAATCCGCTTAGCAGAATTTCCTCATTTATTTTTCTGCCTTCTCTCCGTCTCTTCACATCCGCTGGTTGTGATTGCCTAAAATATATTGAGTAACGTATGTTAATATACATCCTACAGCCTTAGCCATCACTTCTCAAATAATGTATGGAAGCCATGAGCTAGAATACCTTATATATAAATATTTCTAAAATGACATTTTCCTCTCGTCATCTGCTGTTGTTGTTGCATCTTCTGCTTCCATTTTCCCTTCAAGATTATCATTACTCTTTGCCAAACTTTTCTCTTTGTCCCCTTGGACTCATATTCATCTTCTTTCCGCAATATATCTACAGTCTCTTCCTCAGTTTTTCTCCTCTTACCGTCTGTCCTCCTCGTGCAGATGCATCAGCGGCGGTGCTGGGAGGCCCCGCCTCTCCTCTGGCCGTCAAGGTGTCTGATGTCAACAAGGACTACGTCTTCCTGACCTGGCAGCCCCCCAGTGCTGATGGAGCCTCATCTGTGGAGGGTTACTATGTGGAGAGGTGAGGATGGACTGGAAACTCTGAATTTGTCTGGGAAAGTTTTTAGGACTTCAATCTGATTATCGAGCTAGTTGCGAAGTTTTCCAATTACGTATGTTATTCACCTTTTGTGATCTCCAAGGGTGAATACTGACTTTAAATCTGAACCACTTACAGCTTCTGTAACATCTGGAGAATGACAAGGGTTTGGATCAGTAGAGACATTGAAAAAAAGGAGAGTTGAAAATATAATAATCATCATTAGCAACTCATGATAAGTTTAAACGCAAAGATATTTATTATGCTTACACAAGACAAAACAGGTGGAAAATTTGATTGAGGTATTAGTCTCTATTCGATTTATTTAGCTGGTGGATGGATGTATTGGTGCCTCGTTAGAAACAAAGAGGTCCTTTGGTAAATTGAGAGAATAGATGAAAAGTTTTCCCACTGGATTAGATTTTCCATTCCCATCTTTTGGATTGAACACACATTGATTTTTTTCTCCATTTAAGAAAGTCTTATTTTAGATTGAATCAGCCATTTCCTGTATTGCAAGTCAACAATTCGACTATACGGTAACACTATCTTTGCTTTGCGTGCTGCCGGTGAGGAAATTAGAGAGGGGCAGATGAAGATGGCGGAAGTGGAGGCCGGTTTGTATTTGTTTGGCACAGTTCACATGAGATGGATAGTGTACACAGTAATTATCTGCCTTCGACACTATGTCAACAGCAGAGTCAAAACCTGCAGGAGAACAGATGCTGCACTTATCACCAACAACAATCAATCAGGATAGTCCTGTACACGCCTGTACTGATGTGTGTGTAAGTGTGTGTCTTTGAGTGTGTCTGTTTGTTGATGAAGAGAAACTAATGTTATTTACTGTGTGCATTTTCACGTTTCTGTTCAATTGAACTCATATTTTTGTGTTTTGTGGTTGGGCACTTTTTCAGTATACAAAGTATAATTCTTGAATGTTTTTGGTTTTTGGTTGAGCCGAGGAAAATGTAAGATACCTCCCAGTTCCCTAGCAACTACCCTATGGTTAGAAAATGGCACTATTTTCAGTCTTTGTTTATTGCAAGTGGCCACAATTTGTCGTTGGCTCTGTATCTGAGCCCTTATTTTACTTTTAAAATCGTTTTTATTTTGTTTTGAGGACCATTATTTTTCAAGTGATGTTCTTTGGTCACAACGAGGGTCTAAGTGAGAAGGTTCTGACTCAGATATGTTGTTGTTGTTGCAAAACATAATTGTCTTCATAATTGTTTTTTATAATGTTACACCTTTCAGACTGCACCCAAAGTTGTTCAAACATTTTGTTATTTGTTTAGTTCTCACTCAAATGTCTTTCTTACTATATTTTTCTCTCCCTTACGTCTTTCAGATGTGTTGTCGGGGAAGGGGAGTGGGTGCGCTGCAATGTAAATATTCAGAAAATGTGCTACTACCCTGTGTCCGGGCTAAAGGAGGGAACTCTGTACCAGTTCAGAGTTCGTGCTGTGAACCAGGCTGGAGCAGGACGCCCCTCCAAGGCCACCGAGCCCGTCCTCACTGCAGACCCGCTGCAACACACCAGGACCACAGGTAACACACTGACGGACAAATTGACATCTACAAAAAGACATCACAGCTCTAGAAAAACCAAGCAGTGAAAAACACAGCTTCATTTGTAGAAGTTGAACACACCAACCACAGGATTTTGTGATTGTAAATATGGGATTTGAGCATCCATCTAAAAGCTGAACCACTCTTAAGTCAATATGCTGATCAGGAAATCTCCGCAAATGTATTCGACAGCATCTAGTAGCCAGGTACGCTTTTCAATCAGAAAAGCTATTAAAAACAGAGGCGTGCTTATCCTGTGACCTACACTGTGTACTTTAAAAGTCACAAGGAAAAAGTGAGTGAAATAAACAGGAAATATCCCAACTGTAACGTGACATTAAAAGGCACCTCTTTTTTTGCCTCATTTCTACCTGTTCATATTCACATGCAAGGTACAGTGGCAGTCTATTTTATTAATGCTCATACTCAATGATTTATTCGTGGCACATCTGAGAAGATGAATGAACATGTGGTGCAGCATGGCCTGCTGTTAATCCCCACGATTTGATTCTACACATGGGTCCATGAAGCGCTGATGATGCAGAATAACAATCGCCAAAACTCTCCAATCAATGAGTTACCTGTCAGTCCACATGACTTCATGCTTTCTGAACTGAATCACATGTAAGGTGGTCCTTGACAAACACTCTGAAATGTTTTTCCGTTCTAAACATCGTACATTAATTGGGTGGAGATCTGGTGACCGTGAAGGTCAAAGCACACTTCACATGTCTTTCATCTCGTCAAACTATCCAATGACCCCTGGTGACCTGTTTTGAAGCATGTACATTCATTATTCCCCCCCGCCCCACTCATTTATTCAAGGTTTGTAATATGTCACCCCGTTGCATCTGCCACTACAAAGAGCATCAGCGATGTGTGAGTGACTCACCCTGCTGTTAGTTCACCTCATCTGCCTCTGTTGCAGTGGTTACACCTGCAGAGCTATTGGCACTATCAGAGGAAAACAGATGTGTGTAGATGTGGGTCTCCTTTCATAAAGCCTGAAGGTTCCTGCAGCAATTGATTCTTAATTGCGTCCTGGAGTGGGACATTTAGTTTTTTTTAAAGATTACTCTCAAGGTATTTAGGTTTTAAATACTTTATGAAGTCAGGGGATGAGAACGATCAAAAGAAGGGCATTGTGTGTGTGTGTGTGTGTGTGTGTGTGTGTGTGTGTGTGTGTGTGTGTGTGTGTGTGTGTGTGTGTGTGTGTGTGTGTGTGTGTGTGTGTGTGTGTGTGTGTGTGTGTGTGTGTGTGTGTGTGTGTGTGTGTGGACAGATGTGCTCTGGTCAGATGCTGCGGATCATTAAGCGCGATGAAGGACAGGCAGAAGGTTGACTTGCCTCCAGCCGCTCTCCACCCTTCCATGTCCCTCTCTCTCTCCTCTTCTCTGGCTCTCGTACCAATGGCTGCTCCTCTAACAGTACCACTAATAGTATTATCATGGGCTCTCATATAATTTCATTACCCTGATATGACCATCTTCTTTATTCCCTCTTTCCCCAACCTCTCTCTTTCTGCCACCCTCCATCTCTCAGTGGTCAAAGTGGACAGAGGGAGGACGATCACCGTGACAAAAGATGAACTGGAAGGTGAGAAAGGCATTTATTTGATTTCACCGTGTATAATTGTGTCATAAAAAGATAGATGCCCCCTTTGATCACGCTTTATTCTAAACAGCATCTTTGGACTCCACGCCTGAAAGCTGCCTCTTGTTCGTGGCTTAATGCATTTTTATATGATATCATTAACAACAGGCTCGAATAACTGTTTGGTTGAGCATTGCTTCCATACACAGAAGAGAATGATCAGTTCTTGGTTGTGTTCTGTGAATGCACACAATGGCTCAAGGTGGTGCGAAGGCTGTGAAGAGGGACTGGTAACCTTGGCAGTGTAACTGACAGACAGAGATAAAGGGAGAGGAGGAGGAGGGAGATGTTTGAACAGACTGACAGAAAGTAAATGTCACAAAGTCACTTCTACTGTAAATAGAGCGTGTGTGCATTAGGTTACATTCTATCAAACTTGTGGTATTTGTCCATCAAACTTCCATGGTTATTGCGATACACATAACTTCACACACACTTATAATACTAATATATCCCTCTTTTTTTATTAGGTTACTCTTGCAGTATACAAATAAAGAATCCCAAAGATATTTACATTCACAGCATGTTTGAAACTGAAATTACAATTGTTTCATTATGTTGGTTCTGTATTCAATCACATTGTATTTCAAATTAAACAATTATGAGGTTACAGTACCAACTTTAAACTTTGATTTGAGAAGAAAAAGATCATAAACAATTTCCTCTCCTTGACCCTAAATCTCTTCTGGGTTTGGTTTCTGTAGCTGCATATGTTTATGATCATCGTCCTTCTGTATTCAAATCAAAACAGTGTAAATGTAAACAACTGCCCTCCCCTTAAGATGAAACTTCAGCACTTTAACTTCATAGTCACGGTTTCATGTCAACGGCCTGATGCAAAGCTACTCCATTGAACACACACACACACACACACACACACACACACACACACACACACACACACACACACACACACACACACACACAC